CTACAAAGAAATACGTTCATTTACCAATGTACTAATGAGACAATCATTCTGTACTTTCTTTTATTAAGCTATGGCTATATACCTCGTGTGTCATCTTCTTTAAATTTCAATTTTGATAAGTTAGTGTCTGATCTTCGTAGAACTATACCCAACCCAGCTTCTAGTTCACTCAAAAGACTCTGAAGTTTGGGATCAAAGTTTCTGCTCCATTCCTGATCCTAAATAAAAACAGATAAGAGCAGCCAAGGTTGATCAAAATTTTGCTAATCAAATTGGCTTCCCAAAACACTGTCCAAAAACTCATTTTTCTTAAAGCTTCCCCCCACCTCCACTTCATAAGAATAAAAAGTCTCTCAACAGTTAAAACTATGAAAACCATTTAATGTAGAAATGTAAGAGTTGATGTGGATTGCATTTTATACCTTTCTCCAATTTCTCTATTTTTTAACACAACTTACATTAAAATTTAAGTTTAAAAAGTTAATAAAAGATATTTTAATTAAAATTAAAACATTAATGACATTAACAGTAAAAACAAAATAGATATTTATGTTTGTGTGAAAACATTCATCCAAATACTTCAGTTAAAAAAAAAATGACAGCTATTTTACTCACCTTTAACAACACTGGTGCAAATACTTGCCGTACTGCTTGGTAAAGAGAACTAATAGGTGACTCTAACATAGATGAAACAAGAATGTTATCATGTAGATTCTCATCAGTAATTACTTCAGGTCGCAGCTTGAAAAACACCAGCACTTTATCTTTTGTGTCACCAAACTCAACCTAAAGTGATAAATGATTTTTAATGTTACCTTTATGACATTTAATATTTGAAGAAAAAGTATAGGAAGTTATATTACTATATTTATATCTCTTGGAAAAAATAAACATATTAAAACTAATTTATCTCTTATCTCCTTAAGAATACTTTAATTTAAAAGCTTATTCCCACTCACATGAGATAATAAAGTCACTTTGGTAAGTTATTTATAACAATAAAACAATATATACATTGTTGACTGCTAACTATTCCAATCCAGTCAGAATCCATTCCAGCCAGATTCCATTTCAGCCAGATTCCATTTCTGCCAGAATCAGTAATAGTACAGATCAAAGCTGTATGCTCCAGGTACACAATGAATAATATACTTCTCTAGTAACCCAGAAAGTCTATAACAAAAACATTAATGACCCTCTTACCTAGAAAAAGCATTTTAAAAGGTGATTTTAAAATTATAAACTCACTCAAAACTACCAAAATAAATTTGTCTATCTCCTAAAATTATTTTCACCTTAACCGAAAATTTTGAGTTAAGAGCATAAAGTTTTTCTGTTAAATTGTCATAGAGCTAGATTATTTTAAATTGGAACCAGATGAGCTTAATTGGAATTCACTACAGCAACCTTGTTTAAAATAGGTCAGTTCATAGTAATTAGTTCATTAGCTGAGAAGTATACTACTCAAAGGAAGTTCTTGCATTATACACACATTTTCAGCTATTCTAATTTCTTCTTTCAGGAAAAGAAGTCTATGCATTAAAAAGCTTTCAAACAAGGTCACAGCTGTGTGTGAAGAACAGCTAAATGGGTCTCACACCACTTTTTCTAACCAAATAATTACATTTTTGGCTGCTGGAAAGGAGCTGAAACTTTACTCTTTGTTGCTGTTCAAATGCTTATATTTCATGACATATGAAAAGTATATGAAATCCACATAACAGTGTCCATAGTTTTATTAGAACATAGCCATTCCCAATCAATTACATGTATTATTACAAAGTTGATTACATGTCTGCTTTCACACTACAAAGGCCAAGTTGTAGCTGTAATGGAGCCCTTGTGGCCTGCAAAGGTTAAAATATTATCTGACCTGTTACAGAAAAAGTTTGCCAAACCCTGTCCTAAAGAATAAACCAGATCACAGCTTTCTCTTAATATTACCAATAACTTCTTATTTCAATTTAAATGGTATATAATGTCCTAAATTAGCAGCCTATGCCTTATTCTCCCTTCTCATCTTCCACAATGTCCCTTCACTTCAGCAATCACTTTAGATTTTTTTTCTTGCCCCTTGAAATTAAGTTAAAACCCAGCTCAGGGCCTTGGTACTTAACAGTTTATTTTGCTTAGAACATTCTTCCCCCAGATCATGTCTGCCTGCAACTCATCATTCAAATCTCACTTCAAAGATAACTAATCCAGAGAGGTATTATCTCCCACCCCATATTTCTGTAGTTCCCCATCCCACCCCATCACTACTATAACATTATTTTTATCTTGAAAGCACTTATCAATACCCAAAATTATATTACATGTATCTGTAGCACGTGTTTAGCCTACCTTTGTCCATTCCAATGTCACTCCTTTAAGATACGAACTCTGAGTTCAAGACTTTATCCCCAGTACTAGTAGGTAGTCAATAAATATTTGCTGACTTATTAACTTATTGAATCATGCTAACTATCAGGCATCTAAAGTACAACTGAAGACATTTAAAAATGTCAAATATGACTAAAAACCTGCAGCAAAGTGTATGACTAAAAATAACAGACACATCATTGGGCTTTACTAGTAATAGCTTTAACTTAAAAAAAAAAAAGTTATAGCTTCAACTTTTAAATACCCAAGATACACTTTCACAAATCCAAACCCCTTTCCATTTTGCCTGCTGCATTCTATATGAACTTTCAGTGGCATTTACAACAGCGTGTCCTCATTTTATCATTTGCTGAGTATATGTCATCCTAAGCCACTGTGAGTCTCGGAAAGGCAGAAAACAGGGGGCTCTATCCTGAATTACACTACCTTAGGAGAAAAAGAAAGTTAACATTTAGGTTGTAACTTTTGTGCCTTACTTTCCTTAGCCATAAAATGAGAATAAGAATAGTTCCTATCTTACAGTATTGTTATGGATATTAAATGAACAAATACATATGAACTACTTAGAACAGTGCTTGACAGAGTCTAAAGTGAAAGTAAATGCTAGCTATGATTATCCTTTTTATATCTTTGTAAACCTATCAAGCCTGGCAAAGTGCCTTCCATGTATTGAGTTCAAAGTAAATGTTTATTAAATAGAATCTAATTAAACCTAAGAATAAAGAGAGTGAATGGGGTGAATGATTCAATCATCCTATAAAAATGCACTGAAGCCAGGCGCAGTGGCACACGCCTATAATCCCAGCACTCTGGGAGGCTGCGGTGGGTAGGCCACCTGAGGTTAGGAGTTCGAAACCAGACTGACCAACATGATGAAACCCCCTCTCTACTAAACACAAAAAATTAGCAGAGTGTGGTGGCACATGCCTGTAATCCTAGCTACTTGGGAGGCTGAGGCAGGAGAATCACTTGAACCTGGGAGGCGGAGATGGCAGTGAGCTGAGATCGCGCCACTGCACTCCAGCCTGGGCAACAAGAGCGAAACTCCGCCTTAAAAAAAATGCACTGAATGCTTTTTCTAAGTGTCAAATATTCTGCTAGGCCTAGGGATCAGGGTGAACACAAGAGGAAAAGGTTGAAAATATGTCTTTGTTTTATTAACTTAAATCCGTTTACTGAGTCCCCTTTAATGTGTCAGGAATTTTCTTCTGTGTTTTTCTTTTAGGTTTATATAAATGCACCCTGACTGCAAATGCAACCCATTTTTTAAGCAATCCTGCCAATGGAGGGAGCAGTGCAATTAATAAATCAGTACATCACATGTTGTACACCAAAAAAGAATTCAAACTTTATTTTGAAATGTATCATATCATTTCGCAAAAGTTTAAATTCCTAACCAATCTTTCCCTCGAGCAATGTTAAAATCAGAGCATAATCCAAGAAAGATGGACTAGAATTTGCCTCAAATGAAAAAAAAAAAAAAAAAAAAAAAAACTCAAAAGGGGGAGAGAGAAAGATTTAAAAAACAAAGTAAATGTCTTCTTTTTAGTTATAACGTTATCTGCAGTCTTTCTTTAAAAGTAGAATATAGGCCGGGCACAGTGGCTCATGCCTGTAATCCCAGCACTTTGGGAGGCCGAGGAGGGCGGATCACTCCAAGACAGGAGATCGAGACCAGTCTGGCCAACGTGGTGAAACCCCCATCTCTACTAAAAATACAAAAATTAGCCAGGTGTGGTGGCGCGCGCCTGCTACTCGGGAGGCTGAGGCACGAGAATCGTTTGAACCCAGGAGACGGGGGATGCAGTGAGCAGAGATCGCGCCACTACATTCCAGCCTGAGCAACAGAGCAAGACTCCGAATAAAAATTTAAAAAGAATAGAATTGCTACTATTCAGATGTGTGGAACGGGAACCTCCTTCGGTCAGGTAGGATGCAAAGCTTGGAAACTACATGCTTAAGTACGAGGCCAATGCAGCTAAGCCAATAATGCAGGAGAGGTGGACACAGCCTTGGGTTCCTGAAAAGGATCCGGTTGGTAAAGCTGTGTGTGCCCGGACATCCCTCTGGCTGGGCCTGGGGACTTGAAGAGTAGTTGGGGTCAGTGAGGAGTGCAAGGAACCATACGTACTGTGTTGGAAAAGGAGATTCCGGCGTCGGAACGCTGCACCCTGAGGAGCATCTGATTGCCGTCATCCAAGAAGTCGTTAATTTCAAGACAGTTAGACAACGGTGGCTGATCCGAGAGTTCAGACATCAGCCCGAAGTAATTCTGGGTAGTAGTGAAGATGAAGAGCTTCCGAACGTCCGCACTCTCGTTCGCCATGATTGAAGGGGGTGGAGGGAAGTGGGAAGAAGGGGAAAGGAAGAAGAAACCAGTCCGGAGGGAAGTGAAGGGAAGAGGGGAGCTTCGCTCAGACCTGTAGCCCTACCATGGGACCGCAGAGCTTGGCGGTTGCCAGGGGTAGTCGCTATGGCGACGGAGCGCTACGGCGGCGTCGCTGACGGCGCGCGGCGGCCGTCGACCTCTCAGGGTACGCGCACGCAAAGCTCCCGGAGGCGACCGACCGCCTCGGAGCTCCTCAGCGGCCCCCTGCGGTCATCGATTGTAAGAGCTTCGGAGCGGCCCCCTGCGGTCATCGATTGTAAGAGGTTCGAAGTGTCTTCCTACCGATTTCTTATAACACAAAATCGGAAAAGAGACACCGAGCCTTCAAGTACAGCAGCGTGATCTAGATTTAGGAGAGCAGGGTTCTAGCGCTCCCTCTCCATGTGCGCCTGGTAGCAAACCACTCTGTCAGTGTCAAGTTGCACATCTGTAAGAGGGGGAAATACTATCTCACAACCAGGGACGTAGTGCGGATTTTAAGAGATTACTATTTAAAAATCGCTTTTTAGAGAGGCTTATAAAGAATAGGAACTCAGTACAATGTTAATTTACTTTCTCAATCTCCCTCTGCTCCTTTCTGTGCTGCTGCATTTCCCAACTTTATTTTTATCCTATTACTAATTTTAGAAAAATTTAGCCAGCAGTTTTTTCATTGCAATCATTACCCGAACACAGCCATATTTGTAAAATAGCTAAAATGTGCAGTGATACTTGTTAGTTTTTTATAACAATCGCAACTAAATTCTATGAAAATACAGATATGAAAACATTCTTTATCATTTTCTTCCCCATGGTATTAATATAAACTACTAAACTGCTGGTCATTAATCCGAACTTTCTGGATTCAGTAATTCTCTTCCAAAAATAGTTACACATATTATTAGGTTGGTGCAAAAGTAATTGCGGTTTGGCAAGAATCATAATTACTTTTGTACCAATCTAATACAATTTGCCAAGTACTGAACTAGGCCCTGGGGACGAAGTTCCTGCCCTAAGGAAGTTTTTGCTGTAGTCATTCATCACCTCTGCATTGGTTCGAGCCATGATCCTAAGGTACATAAACTTATACAGACTTTTTTTGTTTGCACTCAATAATCGTAACTTCCTCTTAAAACTATATTGTTTGAGAATTAGAAAGCGAATCCTTTTATCTGCTGAGCAACTTGATTAAGATTTTGGAGTGGGAACTTAAAAAAGCCGAACTGATCTAAATTATAAAAGGAAATGAATTTAAATTCTCCTGAAATAACTAAACGGTGGGAGATGGGAGTCTGGCCAATGGATGGGAAAACATCCAAACAGTGAAATGAGATGAGGTGCCCCTGCACTCCAGCCTGGGCAACAGAGTGAGACTCCGTTTCAAAAAAACAACAAAATATTTCCCCACTGGGTGGGGAAAACACTTTGATAAACAGGTTTTGAAAGCAAACGTGGCCACTATGGTTACAGAGTTTCTTGCTCTGCAATGGGCATTATCACTCTAACCAAGGTCTTCAGGAAAGTCCCCATTACCCATAAGTGCTCACTTTGGGTGAGTTGTTTTGGTGGAAATGTATGAAACAGCTGAATTGAGCTTCTGTAACAATATGGTGAATAAAAAGGCAACACATGTAGGAAGATGAGTCTAGAAAGCAGATGAGATCATGAGTATGTTATCCTTCCAAGAATTTTTAGAACTCCTGAGGAAACTTCAGGGTGCCACAAAGTATGAAATTGTGTGTGAATCAAGTTTAACACAGTCATCAAACATGGAAGCTCCTGTTGATATGTAAACTCCATGAAATAGAGGTTTTGTGTTTCCTGTTCACTACTATGTATGAAAAATGAGGCATAGAGTGGGAAAAAAAGTTCAGATAAGGACTGAAGCATACAATAAAGAAGAAAGAACCTCACAGATAAAATAATTCACACAAAAACACAGACATGGTAAATGGTAGAATCAAAATTCATACCAAAATCCAGTTCTGACTCAGTCTCTATATACCATATCACAGTGATAGCCAGATATACATCGAAATCCATTTTTCCCTTCCATAGCTAAGAAATGGCTATCCTCCAGGTGTGGCCATGTGACTAATCCTCACCAATAAAATGTGAGAAGTAATGTGTACCTCTTTAGGGCAAAGTTTTAAAGAAGTGAGAGTACCTTTACCTTTTGCCACCTGGATGCAGATAACAACAAAGCAACAAGGATGGCAAAGCTTTCAAAGAGTAGGACCCTAGGATACTGAATCACAGTGTGGAATAATGTCTGCAGTTGTTAAATAAGCAAGAAATAAACTTGTTTGTGTTTGAGGCATTATATATTGAACTGCGTGAGACTATTTTTATAGCAATTTAGGCCACTCTAACCAAAAGTTGATATCCATAGTATAGTAATGATTTAACTTTTTTTAATGTGGGCATTGGCTCAGCAGTTGGCTGACAGGTGGCATGAAAACAGGTAACGTGAGTTGCAGGGCAAGGCCCAAAACTTTCTGAGCCAGGGCTTCCTAACTTTGTCCTATATGCCATTTCCCAAACTTTTTGGCGATGTCTTTATACTTTATACTTTAAAAATTATTTTCATACTTAAAAAAATTACTGCCAGGCACAGTGGCAGTAATCCCAACACTTTGGGAGGCCAAGGCGGTTAGATCACAAGGTCAGGAGTTGAAGACCAGCTTGGCCAATAAGGTAAAACCCCATCTCTACTAAAAATACAAAAATTAGCCAGGCATGGTGGTGCAGTCTGCAGTCGCAGCTACTCCGGAGGCTGAGGCAGAAGAATCACCTGAACCCAGGAGGCAGAGGTTGCAGTAAGCCAAGATCACACTACTACACTCTAGCCTGGGGATAGAGCAAGACTCTGTCTCAAAAAAAAAATTACCAAAGACTTCAAAAGGATTTTGTTTCTGTAGGTAATTTCTATCAATATTTACTTAATCAAAATTAAAACTGAGAAATTTTTGAAATATGTATTTACTTATCTATTTTTAAATAAGCATAATAAGATCATTCTTGGTAAAATAAATAACATATTTTTATGAAAATAATTAGATTTCTAAAAGGCAAAAAGCATTGATGAGAAGAATGGCATTGTTTTACATTTTTGTTAAGTATCTTTCATGCCTGCCTTAGCAGAAGACAGCTGGATCCTCTATGTGCTTCTGCATTCCATCTCTTGCAATACGTTGTTTTGGTTGAAGTAGATAGAAAATATCCAGTCTCACATAGATATGTAGTTTAAAAATTGAGAAGTTAAAACGTGGAAAAGAATTTTAATAGATACTTGTGAATATTCTTTCAGACTAAAGTAACACTCCACAAGTAGTAGTTTCTTAAAGGACAGTTGAAATTTGGAATTTGGAATTTGGAACACAATCAATGAATATTTCATACTCAGTTACATTAAAATCCATTGGTTTTCTAGCACTCTGAATGTATCTTTTACCCATACATAATTTCATAACATCATGCATTGGTCATTTAGAAAATATTGGTTCACTTATCTATGAAGATCTTCCAAACATTGATACATTTCCTTATATAATATTTTTTTTCCTTTTTTCTTTTTTCTTTTATATATATATAGAGAGAGACAGGGTTTCACCATATTGGCCAGGCTGGTTTCGAACTCCTGACCTCAGGTGATCCACCTGTCTCGGCCTCCCAAAGTGCTGGGATTACAGGTGTGAGCCACCGTGCCCGGCCTATAATACTTTTTTAAATTATATTCATTAATACGCCACTGATCTCATAAGAAAAAAGTCTTTTTAGGGATAGGATGTTTCTCTGTTACCCAAACTAGATTGCAGTGGCTTAACCATAGCTCGTTGTAGCCTCAAACTCCTGTACTAAAGCTATCCTCCCACCTCAGCCTCCCAAAGTGCTGGGATTACAGACATGAGCCACCTCTCCTGGCCAAGAAAAAGTTTTTATGTATGGAGAGGTTGTCATACTTACAGCAGAGAATTTAAGTTATCCAAGATTCTAATTTTTGCAGGAATTCTTGAATTTTATCATTGGCAACAAATAAGGTCCATTGTTTTCCTGGAAGTGATAAGCTTATTTTATTCACTTTTAAGAAAAATATCTGCCAAATATCAACGTATGAATAAAATTAGTTTGTTATACTTTCAAGTAAAAATGGTCTTCCATGAAAAAAAACAACTAGTTTAAATCACAACTCAAACAATCATGAAATTATTTTTATTGAAACAACCATTATTAATACTTCAATGCAGCAGAAGTGTTTTATGGTGTATTATTTCATCATTCAAAATATTGAAATGACTAGTACTCAAGGTTTAATATTTAATAAAAAGAATAAATTTTACTCCTTCATCAAGGACATTCTTAAAAGAAACTGAAATCTTTTCCAGTGAATGCATACATGCAAAGAACAGATGATTACTAAAGCAGCTGGGGCCCCACCATTGATTTGTGTCAAGTTGCCAGCCGTTTTAGCCACGGCATTGTTTTTCAATGTTATATAACAAACTACTACACATTTAGTGGCTTAAAATAACACCCATTCATTAGCTAAGAGTCTGATAAGTCAGGAGGATGGGTGCTGCATGCTAAGGGTCTCACAGGCGTAAATCAAAATGTCAGCCAGGCTCCATTCTCATTTGGAGCGTAGCGTCCTCTTATATTTGAAGGAGGATGCATTTTCTTACAGTTGTAAGACTGAGGTCTTCATTCTTTGCTGGATGTCAGCTGGGGCCTCTCAGCAATTAGATATTGCCCACATTCTTATCATTCATCTTTAAAGCCAACAATAGAGAACTTCCTAACATATCTAAGCTCCCTTGTGCTTCAAATCTCTTTTATAGCAGGAAGAAACCAGCTCCTTTTAAGGATTCACCTGATTAGATCGGGCCCAGTGAATAATTTCCTTTTTTATTAACTCAAAGTCATCTGGTGAGTAAACTAGGGATGGGAATGATATACCATCATATTCACGGATTTCCTCCACACTCAAGGTTAGGGGGCCCTTCAAAGTGTGCACACCAGGGAGCAGGGACCTTGGGGACTTCCTAGACTTCTGCCTACCATAGCTGCCATTGCTCCTGCACCATCAATGAAAATGTCAAGCACAGTGACAGAGATACATAATGTTCTGACCTCACTTCCCCTGACAACTGTTAAAAACGTGCTCTTTGAATGAAGAGACCCCCTCCCCCCACAAACAGCCTTTGTGTGAGCAACATGGCTGTTCATTCACCTGGGTCCAGATGGACTAAGGCCGAAAAGGGTGTTAGCAAAAGGCAGTGGGATAGGAGTTGGTTTTATAGGTTTGGGGTGGGCAGTGGGAAGTTACAGAGTAAGATCAGTTACAGTGGTGGGGGTAGGGGCAAGAAGTATACATTACCATCAGTTCAGTTACAATAGTGGTGGGATAAGAGTAGTTAAGATGGTAGGGTGGGGTGAGGAGTATTCACATTATCATAATAACAGTTAAGATGGCAGGGTGGGGTGAGGGGACGCTTATGTGGAGGGGGCGGGGAAGCTCTGCTGGGCAATTAGGTATAATGGCCAACACAGGCTGGGGTTGCAGGGTGATCAGCCCAGGCAGGCAGGACTTTAAACTTTCTGGGTCTGGGCTTGCACATGGAGGCCTGACAAAAACATTTCAAGTTCCTCCCCAAATCTAGCCTTCTAGATGATTTCTGGGGTATCCACATCTATTCCATGAAAGTGAATATAGGATAAAGATTTTTTTCCATTTACCCATTATGTTTGATAAATATTGGCAAATATGTTAAATATATAGTGTTGGTTATAAAATGTTGCCCTATAAAGTTATTAAACAGATGCTTTGTAATTTTAGTAATTTTAAGGGAAAAAATACTAGTCAAGTTGGTAGACTAAATGATACTCAGATAGCTAGTAAAACATTATTTCTGGGTGTATTTGTGAGAGTGTTTCAGGAAAAGATTAGCATTTGAATCAATGGACTAACTAAGAAGATAGCCCTCATCAATGTGGGCAGGCATCATTCAATCCCTTGAGGACTCAAATAGAACAAAAAGGCAAGGAAAGGTGAACTTGCTGTCTTCTAGTGGTGGGACATCCATCTGCTGCTCTGGAAAATCAGAACTCCTAGCTTTGGGGCCTTTTGACTTCAGAATGTATACCAGCAGCATGCCACGTTCCAAGGTCTTGAGATTCAGACTGAATTACACCACTAGCTTTCCTGGCTTTCCAACTTGCAGATGGCATAACAGGTGACTTATTGGCCTCCATAATTGGCTGAGGAAATGCCCATAATAAATATCCTCTTAAATATCTATTTATATCCTATTGATTCTGTTTCTCTGGAGAAACCTGACTAATTTAGATCATTTAATGTTCCTTCAAATTCATATGTTGAAACTTAATCCCTAGCATGATATTATTAAGAGGTAGGGCTTTGGAAGGTAGTTAGGTCTTGAGGATGGAGCCCTCATGAATCAGATTAGTGCCCCTGTAAGAGAGGCCCAATAGAGCTTGTTCACCCCTTCCATTATATGAGGACATATAGAAGGCACCACCTAGGAGGAACAGGTTCCCACCAGATACCAAATCTGCTGTTGCCTTGATTTTGGACTTCTCAGCCTCCATAACTGTGAGCAATATATTTCTATCATTTACAAATTACCCAGTCCAAGATATTTTGTTACAGCAGCCTAAATAAACAAAAAAGATACTCTACACTAAAATCTGATATTTACCTCAAATACTTAAATATATTTACCTTTACACGTTCTTATGAGTCCTTGTGGAATAAAAGGAATTCTGTTTCTTCTGACTCTCTTTCTAAATCACTGAATAGTTGAATAGACCCTGCTTCTGGGTCTAGCAGGCAGCCAATTCTTTCTGCAGTCAATTGCACTAAAAATATACAGGGAAAGAGGAAGGAGATATGTTGTAAGCAAGGGTGTTAGTCTTCATTGGTTTCTAACATGTAGCTGAAGGTTTTTTCTTATATCTGTCCTCCTGCTACCCCTTCCCCCAATGATGGCCTATGAAGCTGTCATTGAAGAGGTGGGGGAATTGCCAGAAATGTGATAATGTGGGATGATTTTCACCTATCTCCTCTAACAAGAGACCCAGAAACAGTCATTAGAAAACAAAATCAATGGGTAGCATTCCTTCTTGCAAATAATACTTCTGTGTTTCATTATGAGAATATCCAGACAGTATATTTAAATCTTAACTTTTTTTCAGATACTAAACATTATTTATTTGAATATTAGTGCTTCATTATGTTTAAATATGTTTTAAAAATTACATATCAAAGTTATTTTTAAATACATTTTAATATTAATAGCAAGGATTGCAGGAAATACGGCGAAGACTGTGTTCTAAAACTTTTATCTTTTAAAATAAAAAAAAAACACTAGCCTTGGGAGAAATAAATATATTCTCAAAAGTATAGCCCTGTGATGCTGTACAGGTACTTCTTAGCAAAAATTGTTCCTAGTTCTTGAGCTGTGGTTATAATTACCTTATATAAGAATTATCTTAAGTAGTCTTATTGCTTTTTAACAATACATGTTAAACATGTTCTCTTTTGAGGAAAAAGAGAACATGCAAAAAAGTAGATACTGGCTGTCAAAGTTTCTGCACATCAGTTCCATTCACATTTATTGGCCAAGCAAACTACATTGTCACATCTAACTGCAAGTGGGCAGATAAGTGAAACTATGCCTTATACACAAAAGGAGAGTTATAGAATATTTGTTTTTTTTTGTTTGTTTGTTTTTTTGGTTTTTTTTTTTTGAGACGGAGTTTCGCTCTTGTTACCCAGGCTGGAGTGCAATGGCCTGATCTCGGCTCACCACAACCTCCGCCTCCTGGGTTCAGGCAATTCTCCTGCCTCAGCCTCCTGAGTAGCTGGGACTACAGGCACGCGCCACCATGCCCAGCTAATTTTTTTGTAGTTTTAGTAGAGACGGGGTTTCACCATGTTGACCAGGATGGTCTTGATCTCTTGACCTCGTGATCCACCCGCCTCGGCCTCCCAAAGTGCTGGGATTACAGGCTTGAGCCACCGCGCCCGGCAAATATTTGAGTACAACCCTAATGACTACTACACTTTCTAATGTTTTTCTTTTTTATCTTCCGTTTTTTTGTTGTTTGTTTGTTTTTTGTTTTTGTTTTTGTTTTTGTTTTGTGTGACTGAGTCTCACTCTGTCACCCAGGCTGGAGTGCAGTGCAGTGGCACGATCTCTGCTCACTGCAACCTCTGCCTCCTGGGTTCAAGAGATTTTCCTGCCTCAGCCTCCCAAGTAGCTGGGATTACAGGTGCCCACCACCACACCCATCTAATTTTTTTGTTTTTTGTATTTTTAATAAATAATACACCAGTTTCACCACATTAATCAAGCTGGTCTTGAACTCCTGACCTCAAGTGTCTGCCTGCCTTGGCCTCCCAAAATGATGAGATTACAGGCATGAGCCACCGTGCCCAGCCTAATATTTTTCAAATTAACGAAAACAAATACTGCTTGCACTAAGCCAAAGAAGCTGTGCTCTTTCTTTTTATTCTACCATAGTACCAATAATGTTCTAGACAGTGGCTGCACTGATGGCAAAGAACAGAGTCTCCAGCTGACCTTTAAAGGGTAGTATGATCAAGCAAGAAAATTTTGTTGTCCTAAACAACTGAGCTTCTATGGCTTCTTTGTTGCTCTGGCCTAATCTAACCCTTCTAGACTTTCGAAGATAAGGCATGCACTTTGCTTCAGCCATGGTATCCACCTACCCTGTTGTCTTACACCCAGGTCATTTCACTAATTTACATGGTCAACCAGGCCCAGAAGGCTTCCAGGTTTGTAAAGCTGCTTTATGTAATGCTGTCTTAATGAAATTTGTTTCACTTACACCAAATTTTGTGATAATAACTTGTCTGATAAAAATACTGCTTTTAATTTTGTTGTTCAGGATAATAAAGTATGCTAGTGAAACTGTGTTAAGGCCCTTAATATAAACAATTTCAAAACATATTATTAATCTTTTCCTCTATGATGATGCTAATTATACTTTTAGATGGTTTGAAGTTGCTTTCTTTGCTTTGTGCATTATCCAGCTTATCTGTTATTTGCAGGAAGTAGTCTTGCTATGACTTATAACTGAATGTCCTCTAATGTCATTTAAAAAATAATACATACCCACTGATGTAAGGGCTGAAGGGAAAGCTTTTTAAACCATGGCAACTAATAACAAAAATGTTCACATAGGTTGTTATTTTGAGTCTTTTTTTATCTCCATTTTTATTTACATAAAATGATTGTTGAATAACATACAATTAAATCAGAGCTTTCTGCTTCACAGCCTGGCATCTTTCTGGATAGATTCTGTGATAAAATAATTCTCTGACATCACAGCTTGTTGCTATGATACTAGAACATCAAAAATTTGGCAGTGTCAACCTACTCAGCAGGGTAGCTCAGGATAAATTTAAAGCAAAAGCTCATTTTTTAAGCATTGGCTTGGCACCTTTAATCCCTAAAGATATCTAACAAAATAAGAAATTTGAGATTTTATACCATTAAGGAACACATTCACTGAAACTACTGGAAATTATTGCTCTCAAGTGTCTAGTGTTCTTGTCAGGAATGGGGCTGTGAAGTCAATGAAGACATATTTGGGGAAGTCCTTTATTAGAGAAAATAGAGGGATCTAAGGTATCCATGTGATACACAGTTGTTTCCATCAGGTTCAAATGTAGCTCCTGATGATTCAGCAACCTACAAATTAAAGAGATAAGTTAGGCCAGGCGCGGTGGCTCAAGCCTGTAATCCCAGCACTTTGGGAGGCCGAGGCGGGTGGATCACAAGGTCAAGAGATCGAGACCATCCTGGTCAACATGGTGAAACCCCATCTCTACTAAAACTGCAAAAAATTAGCTGGGCATGGTGGCGCGTGCCTGTAGTCCCAGCTACTCAGGAGGCTGAGGCAGGAGAATTGCCTGAACCCAGGAGGCGGAGGTTGCAGTGAGCCGAGATCGCGCCATTGCACTCCAGCCTGGGTAACAAGAGCGAAACTCCGTCTCGAAAAAAAAAAAAAAAAAGAGATAAGTTATTTGAGCTTTCTTCTGGGGAAACTCTGGGAGCTTGATAGTTGTTTTAAGGCTCAAAAAATCAGTGTTTTTGGTCCAGGCACATGGTTTATTTAACAATTTCCTTCCAAACTTAGTAGGCTTTCTGATGTATTTGCTTTTAGTTCCATATTCTAAATTCCATATTCTAGTTATTTCTTACATATGATTCCAAAGAATGATCTTTTTGCTTACTTATACCCATGTCCCCCTCTCAACTTGTTGGTTATCCTGAGGCTATCTGAAACAATAGGTTTAGATGGCAAGGTTAAAATCCTTAGCCTGAGCTTTGCCCAAATATTATATCACTTTTTTTAAACTGAGAGATCTTTTAGTGCATTTATCACTTACAACATTTTTCCAGTCTTACCCTTATTACTTAGAAACTAGGAGCAGTCAGCTTCTCTAACCCTGAGAGACCCTTGATCTCTAGGATTCCTTAGCACTCTTCTATTCCTTCTAGAAAATTAACCAGTTCTCATCTGAGCTCATATTTTTCTTGTAAATCTTGCTAAGGGCAGACAACTGTAGCCAATACACCCTATCACTCTGCCTTTAGTTATTTTCCACAGAGTTAGAATCTTACTAGGTTAATGGTCTCCCTTCTACTTCTCAATGGGAAGCTTCAGTGAATATTTTAAAAGGCATGTTAAAAATCTCTAGATAATCAACCTAGTAATATTTCTTTGCTGCCTGTTGCATGACCACTAATTCTATACAACATATTTTAAGTTTCTGCATGCAGCATCTTCATTCTAAGCACCAACATCTATATTCTTGCGGTAATTGTTACTGTCATTTAACAAATGTTTCTGGCTTTTCTCTTTCTTGGCACTTCTCTGCTCTTTTTAAAGATAGGTAGGATCTTATGACTTGCTTTGATCTTTGAAATGTATATAGAAGTAATATATCACATATACACAAAAGTATTAAAAGCCAATGCATGATTTAACATAGTTCTTTCTCACTGCCATGATAATCATGGAAGGATAAAACAAGACAGTGTTTTTATCAGGTTAGCTCCCTAGGTAGGTTGGATGGGTAGGGTCTTATCAATAACCTACCATGAACAAGAAATAAACCTTTGTTATGATAGCATGTTGATATTTTAGTGTTTGTTACTGTAACATTGCCTAGTCCTGACATATACAATCAAGGTATGGCAAATGTTATAATAACAACCCCAAAATTTCAGTGGCTTAATACAAGAATTTTATTTCTCTTTCTTTCGACAATTCAGTGTGGTACTTGGCAGGCAGTCTTCCTTGTGATGATTCAGGAATTTAGACTTTTTCCATTTTGTAGCTCCACTATCCCCTAGGACTATGGAATTCTTTCCTGGGTTATTTAAATCTGGTTGATTGACAGGTAAGGAATGAAGTCTTATGCAGGAGATGTATACGGCAATTCCTGACTTCTTATTTTTTTGAGTTGGAGTCTTGCTGTTGCCCATGTTGGAGTGCCATGGTGCAATCTCAGCTCACTGCAACTTCTACCTCCTGGGTTCCAGGAAGGGAAACATAATCTTTATTATACCCTGGAATAGGAAAGAATGACTTAATCAGCACATATTATTCTGTGACACAGTGTGCTTTACAAATCTGGTGCTCCATTGAATGAACCAATAGGTCAATCAAGCCTTGACTTGTTTTTAAAATGTATGCAGGGCAGATTTTATGGGCATGCAACTTGTGCAATGTCACAGGGCCTCATGCTTAGAAAGTCCTCTCAGTTGGTTTAATGATGTGTTCTCACAGAGCACTACATACTTTTTTTTTTTTTTTTTTTTTTTTTTTTTG